GTCCGGCGGGACCTCCCACTTTCGGCGACATATAGTCTCCTACTCGTATGGTCGGGCTGTGACGAGATGTACAGGAACTCCTTCCCACGTAGGAGATCGATGAATATTTTAGTTTTCAAAATATTTTCAGAACTCTCTCCCGATACAGGTTTGAAAAAGTTGTGGTGGCATCTTCATCCAGTACTTTTGTGAGTGGCTCTAGACGGCCTAAATGTGAAATCTTAGTTTTCGCCACCTAAGTCAAGATGCGAGTCGGGGAGATCACTACCGGCTAAATAGACCTGCACGACTACGGTAACGGCGGTAAGATCGGTAACTGTGTGCAAACCTTGTGCGAACGCGGTACATATTTGATATTGAACAAACAAAAAGAAGCTCACGTTTCCTTAGAATTCGGCCATACTACCTCCCTGAGTACTGTGATCCCTGCGATCAATATGATTTCTCTATCATTGGACCGCAGAAACTTACACCTTTACATCGAGTACCCAAATACACTCGTACTTACGGCTCCCCCGTTTTTGTGTGTGCGGAACTGATCCTAACGATTGAGTCTAACTTATTTTGCCTTAAACATTCCAGACTGCAAAAGATCTTCCTGATATTGTTTTCACTGCAAATGCTGGAATTGTACGAGAAAAGAAAGTCTATCTTGCAAATTTCACAAATGAACAACGTAAACCCGAATGGAAAATCAATGAAAAGTGGTTTAAAGAAAATGGATTCACGACGTTTTTCAACCCAGAGCTTGCGCACGAAGGTAGTGTGGATAAATTAAGAGCAAACTATACTCGCTATAAATATGTTAAAAACTAGGTACCGGTGATGCACTTTGGATCAACCATGGTAAGGTACTATTGGCTGGTATTGGTCCTCGGTCGGATCCACGAGCTCTGGACGATATAAAAAACAAGCTGAAATCGGACGGCGACGATTTCATGGTATTAGCTGTAAAGCTAATTGATCCACGGTCTGTGCCATCCAACTTTAATTTTCAACCTCTTTCCTCACACCTTTTTGGAGCCAAGTATGGCTTATTTTAGTCTGTTTTAGCCGTTTTGTTAGCTGCACAGTCATAAAATACTTACCATCTGCGCTAGAGCATTCCCGTTTTCTATTTTTTTTCTCTCATTCAAGCGTAACGAGTGCTTTCCAAAAAAGGCAATCGCTTGTACTTTTGAGTGTGATTGTCTCTCGATATTCAAGTTATGCAAGACAATCAATGCCATAGGGAACCGGTTCACTCGATACCTTTTTAGCTCATCATCAGAGAACTTCTTTAGAGGATAAGTAA